TAGGTTGCACTGAGATGCCCGAGTGGCTTGTGAGGCTGATGAGTGAGTAAGGCCGAGGGCCGAGTTGTGAGGATAGTTATGGATCGGGCTGCACGCCGCATCGTTTTATATATATATATATATATGGATCGGGTTGCACGCCGCAGCGATATGTTTGATCGCATTGCACGCCGCGACAATATAGCGCTCGGGTTGTAGGAGCCCTTCCAGAGTCTGCATGCCCCCAGTGAGCGCAGTGGACTATATATTTATGGATCGGGCTGCACGCAGCAGCGTTTATTATAAGATATCTATTGAGCGTGAGTTGCTGAGTGTGAGTGTTGATTGATGAGAGTTGAATCACGAGTGACTGAGAGGCTTGCCCGATGGGCTATATATATGAGCGATACTTTGCCCGAGGGACTTGTTTTATGAAAATACTATTTTTACTCTTTTTTATGCTGAGCCTCTATTGAAAATGTTGAGCAAATGTTTTAACGACTTTCGTTGAAACTGGAGTTTTTACTAGATGTTCGGAATCAAAATTACTGATTTGATCTTGTTATTCCCACTGAGATTTTTATGTTATGATATGTATATGATTTTAAATGCTCGTCACTGCACTCAGCCTTTATTTATAATTGTTACTTACTTAGTTGGCGTACTCACGTTACTCCATGCACCTTGTGTGCAGATTCAGGTGCCAAAGCATCCGAGTGAGAGCTGTTTCTTTCTTTCAGTGTATTTCCGGAGTTAGCAAGGTAGTTGCATGGCGTCCGCGGCCCTGCCTTCCTCCTTCCTATCTTTTAGTATTTATTTTTTTCAGACTCATCTTGTATCGAGTAGTCAGTATCAGATTGTATTTTAGTGGCTCATGACTAGTGACACCGGGATCGAGCAGTGTTTGATGTTTTTGCATATTTTCCGCTTGTTTTGAAATGTTTAAACGAAAGATTTGTGATAATATCTGACATGTAAATGAATTAAGAAAAAGATCCTTTTATGTTGTAAATGTCGAATCAGCTGGCCTAGTACTGCGATAGGCGCCATCACGGTCGGTGTGGTTTGGGGTCGTGACAAATACTTTAATACCAAATGACCTTTCACCATAATTGTTTGTTGTCAAGTTTATTATTTCTTACTTATGTTGGTATCACCATATATATATATATATATATAATAGACTAAGTTAAAATTGATCTTCCATTGCATATAGGTTGATTTTGAAGAAAAATATGCCCGCCATGCTACTGAAAACTTAGATCCACTGAATAACTTATGTAATAATACACATATGGTATAAGAAAATTCTGACAATAACGTCATACATGCAGAACTTATGATACCGGTCAATGTGCTTCTAAGTATGTGTTTATCCCCGAATTCAACTTTCGTCTTCCGAAACTATAGAATATCATTTTAAATTTGTGTAAAAATAATTTTCAGTATGTTTATGTTTTGTAGTTATAATAAATAAAGTACAAGGACAAACATCCTTAAAATCGGACTATATTTACAACAATATATTTTCTTACACGAATAAATATATGTTGCACTTTCAAGAGAGATATCAATATCCACAACAAGAGTTCTGGCTATGACAGAGCAACCAAGCATTAGAAGGAAACATACACAAAGAAAACATCGTCTTTAAAGAAGTGTTTGGCAAGATACCATCACATTAGATACCTTTAAGCTACAATACATAATTATCTACTTAACATGACTAAAACTGATCATTTGTGTAAGTTCTGATAATGTCCTTTCATTTTGAATTCACGTATTATGCTAATGTAATAATATTTTTCGACAATTAGATGATTGGTGTATTATTATATATAAAATTTCTCTCATAAATTAAATTCTATTGTTCCTTCATATAAATAAATATTTAAACCATCATGTGCAATTATTAACGTGCAACGCATGTTTATAGATACTAGTATATATTTAAAAAATAAAATGATGCCTTTTTGGTGATAAACAAGACCAAGATACCTCGAAAAGCCATTGACCAATTCAAGGGAGATTGACAGGAATAACCCCTATAAAAGCTGATTTTAGCGGAATATTAGAAAACTTTCATTAATCTAGTGAACAAGATGCAAATTGAAGAAGAAACTGGAGCAATCTATTAAATTCTTCATCAAAGTCTACCCGATTGATATGATTTTTGTGCTTGTCCAATTATTCATCAAACTTTACCAGATTGGTATGATTCTGTGTTATTTGCAAGCGGCCTATCTGTTAAATTATTCATCACAATCTACTTGATTGGCATAATTTATTTGTGTTGTTTAACAAATTACTTTTCAAAATTATAATATGATACATAACATGACAAAATGATGAATTTTAGCAATAAATATTATATTACAATATAGCATTTATTACAGAATCTTACCGTGTTGGTAGATCTTAGCTGAAGCTACATAACAGAGAGGACGCTTAGCTATTTTTCAAATACCACCAATTACGGAAATATTCCCACTAAAACCAGCTTCCTTCGACGACACGCCGCGAATCTTTTTGTTAATTCAATCCACAGTAACTGCCAATTGCAAGAAAAAGTCTCCTTCACCGACCAAATGAGTTAAGCACACATTAAATTAACATTATGACCAAAACTTTAGCCAAAAGAAAAGAAGAAAATAAGAATCTTGTACACTTCGTATGCATATATCAAAACCTAAAAGAAAAGGACAAATAAAGAAAAAAACTGTAGTAATACAATCAATTGTAGTATTAATGCTGTATTACATGACCAAAACTTTAGCCAAAAGAAAAGCAAGCTAAGGACTGCCCCTTCAATATCATTTTAGGTTAATGAATACACTTGCTAATCTGTAAAGTTTCTACCTACGTTAGATTTTTTTTTTTTTTTTTTTTTNNGGGGGGGGTGAGATACTCATAAAACTTCTGGAAAAAAAATATATCACCCAAGCAAGTTTTATTTTCAATTTTTTTCCCCCTAAAAATTGCTTTAAGTCCTAAGAGATAGAAAGAGGTTCTCTCGTCACCTCAGTATGTTCTGCCCAAGATATAGTCCTTGACTCGTTTCCTACCAAATCATAATATCTAAGGTGGCTTTTAAAAAAAGAAGATTATCAGCAGCTGGTGTTTTGACCAAAACAATATATGGATAACATGTGTTTGCACATTAACCTTTAAAACTTAACCATATTTAATAGGGGAAAGTGCACAATTAGCAACAAATTAGAGATGTCATTACTCTTTAGCCACTGTTTAAAATGTATTTACTATTTAGCCAGTGCTTAATAAATTTTTATCCGCCCGGAGGAAAATACCCCTGCACTAGACATGGGTGCTGTGTAAATATTAAGGACAAGTGTCCTTAACTTCATTAATGATGTGTAAATATTAAGGACAAAGTGTCATGTCATGTCCTTAACTTCATATGTGCAGTGTAAATGTTAAGAACATAATGTCCTTAACTTGTATTTGCACCTTTTGTTGTTAAACTTTAGGACCTCATATCCTTAACTTCATATATGCAGTGTAAATGTTAAAGAAATAGTGTTCTTAACTTTATGAGTGTTGTGTAAATATTAAGACATGGTGTCCCTAACTTCATGAATGCTATGTAAATATTAAGGACAAGGTATCCTGTCAAGTCCTTAACTTCATGTGTGCAGTGTAAATGTTAAGGACATGGCGTCCTTAACTTCATGTGTGCAGTGTAAATGTTAAGGACACCATGTCCTTAATATTTACACAGCACTCATGACGAAAGGGTAAAACCGTCTTTTCGTATTAATTTTAATAGAGTAGTGGCTATTTTGCTCAACATTAAAAATATTATATAAAAACTAAATATCATGTTAAAAAGTGGCTATCCCACGCTATTTCTACTAATTAATATGCATTAAATAAATTGATGCAAACACTGGGTGCGGATATGTAGTTTCTGGGTGGGCAGGGTAAGATTGTGTCAAGTGAAGGCTCCCAGCCCTAAGTCCGCCCGCCCTTCCCCCCATTTTTTATGTTAAAATATCATGGTATAGCTAGTTTTCACACTGGTCAATGAAAAATAGCCAGCGTTTATCAAGTCAATAAAAAATAGCCACTATTTTGTTGCAACAGGGACCGGTCCAGTGTAATATACGGGAGTTCTGGTGCATTTGTATACGAACTCCAGCGTATTATGCTGGACCGGTATACTTTGCTAACTCCTGTAAAATTTGCGGGAGACTGGACAATTATACTTGCTGGAACTCCCGTAAAATTATACTGGACAATTATACTTGCGGGAGACTGGACAATTATACTTGCTGGAACTCCCGTAAAATTTGCGGGAGTTCCAGCATAATTATGCTTGAACTCCCGTAAAATTTGCGGGAGTTCCAGCATAGTTATCCTGGAACTCCCGTAAAATTTACGGAAGTTCAAGCATACTTATGCTGGAACTCCCGTAAAATTTGCGGGCGTATTTTTCCGGATTTTGAACAGTGTTTTCGCTCAGATTTAAAGTGGCTAAATTTCGATGACTTTTGAAACTTGGCTATTTTTCAACGACCAGTGGTAAATCTGGCTATTTTAGAATTTCTCCCATTTTTTATCCTTAGGATAACTCCTGAAAATTATTTGTCTTCAATTCTGGACTGTTTTGGTGCCCACTGCATATTGTGAAGATTGTGAAGTGGCCAAAGGTTAAAGCCTGAGACACTTCTGATTTATATCTGATCTTCGGTCTGTGAAAAAGACAGATTTTTTATTTGTGAAATATAATGTCCTCCAAATGGAGGAGATCTTGCTGATTTTGAGTTGATCTGATTGCTCAACTGTCAATAACTAGCTGTTAAATTCTTCTTTGTAACATAACTGTGGCAAAATCATGACTTTCTGTATGCCTCAAGACTATTAGAGTAGCTGAAGAGCTAAGCCTGGGACATATATGCTCCTTCTGCCTATGAAATGATCAAGACAGAAGTTGACAGTCTGTGGGGTTTCATACACAGAAAACTTATTTTCTTTCCACATTTATCACTCACAGTCACAGATACAGAATGGAGAAGTAACATCATATTAAAAATCTTGTGCAGATATAATCATATTATTTGGGAAGGGTTGACAAATATCTAACATCTTGTGCACGTAAAACCATATTAGAGAAGAACCAATTTAGTAACAAAACTAGGATTTGTAGATAGGAAGCTTGTCCCCTACTTGGAAGCTGCACTAGTAATCGAGCTTTTTCCCTTTAAGAAGTTGGCGTACCAGTATGCAGAAAGTTTTGGATACCTTCTTAATTCTTTGTCATCCAAATCTACATAGTAGAGGCCATAGCTCGGTCCATAGCCACCAAGTAACTCCAAACCATCTAAGAAGGACCACGCGGAATAGCCTCTTGCATCCGATCCGTTCCTGCATTATTATGGGGTTTGGACAAAAGACAAGCTTTTAGTGAAGTGCACATGATAAAAGCTTAGTCTACATCAACTTGATAAATGATTAAGAAAAGGAAAAAAACTACTCTTAACCAATTAAGGCGCCTACCTGTTGCCACAGCAAAAACAAATAAAATAAAGATTTTAAATCTATGCATTGACGGTGTAAAAATTATTTACACAAATCAGGTTACTTATAAGGTAATTATAGGTAAATTCTTATGACGAGCATTAATTGGTAAACTAATAAAAATGACCAAACACTACACTGTTCGCGTAAAATATCTTTACAGGGCCAATGTATGTAATTTAAATCCTAAAAGATGACCCAACATGATTAAGTTAGTTGTCTCAACATTTTAACTTGCAAGACTGCATAACTTTCTGATTTGTTCAGTTCTTGGAAAGTGTTTTGCCAAATTTACATGAGGCAAATAAACTTGACCTTTTATCCCTTCCAAAGATAACATCAACGATACTTCACAGCTCTCTCTGCCCGCATCTACAGTCAATAACTTTGTTATAAGAGGTTTACCTTACAGCGTCGAGAACACTCCCAATGTAGGCATGCAAATAATTTATTCTTGCTGCGTCATTTAGTGTACCATTACGCCGAGTCTTTTGACCTGCCAAAACAAATCATTAAGCATCTCAAACACTTTTCACTTCAGGAATTTGGAGAAAGTCACAAGATTATGCTAACATCCTGAAATCTTACATTTGGAATTCAGAGGAAACTACAGTATAGCAGATATTGCAACTGCAAACTTCACCATATTTTTCCAGAATACCCCACAACATGAAGTGGGGCAGGGGTGGGGGGGGGGGGGGGGTACAGGGTGCTGAAATGTTGAGAGGTTGTTATTTAAGGGAGATCAAGCTTCCAAGATCATCATATAATCGCCAAGTTCTTGAAAATAGAAAGATGTGGATACAGTTTCCTGTTCTGACTAAGTTGAAAATAATGGAAGTAGTGTTCCTAGAGAACATAGATGAAGAGAGATCGCTATTTGAAAATGACTATTTGAACAACCTTCCAAAATTTGCTTATTTTTTGAAAAGTACTTGTTTTTTTTTAACATTAACATTGTAAAGTACTTTTTTCTTTTTTTTGAAAAGTACTTTTGTCAAAAGGAGTTTAAAAAAAGCATATTAGAATAGTGGTCATTTGCGTTTGGACAAGTAATTTAAGAAGAGCTTTTGTTCGTATTATAGAAGTAGTTTGAGTATCTTTCTAAAAGTGCTTTAGAGTATCAAATTACAACAAAAGACATGTAGAGATTTGTTGTACAATTAGTTTTATTTAAATAGATGTAAATGATTTGAATTTTTGTATGAGGGGCTTTAATTAAAATTTTCAATTTCTATTAATTAAAAAGAGTAACAAATAAAATCAAAAAGGAGAGAGAGAGAGAGAGAGAGAGAGAGAGAGAGAGAGAGAGCGCATACCTATGGAACTCTGGATTTGTTGTCGATAATTCATGAGGTTTGTGTTTGACCGTATAGTTGGGATAGTTTGGTATTATAAACTTTTCATAAAGGCATTTTGTAATGAATAAAAGTTAAAAACAACTTCTGCTTGTACTTCTAACGAGAAGCTACATTTTTACCTTCTTCCACACAGCAGAAAATAGCTTCTTCTACTGCTTAAAAACACTCATCTTTCCCAAAAGCTTGTCCAAATACCCTGACTCTCCAAAATAAGCACAAGTAGTAGTTTCCTATACTGGCCAAACAGGCTAGAAGTGAAACCAGGTTATGCAAGCTTTACTTTGAGTGGATTGTCCGGAATGGGTGAAGTTTCCAGGTTGTAAGGACAAATTTAGCTTATAGTAGGCTTTATCCTCTATATATATTTACTGAATAAGGCAAAACATTGCTAGAGCACACAGGTGTAAGAACCCACAAATTGCGTGCAAAAGCATAAAATCAAAAGAGAGGAGGTGATTGGAGAGGACGCACCATTTTCCTGAATGTAAATCGGTGGGTTGCCATAAGCTTCTTTTAAATACTCCAGAAATTCATAAAGACCAGAAGGTATCACTGGATACTAAAGTCAAACAATGTTTAAGTGACAGAACTTGTAAATCTTCAAAACATCACACAAGAACTTATATTAGAGGGCTCACCTGATCTGCTGCCAATGCCTCAACTGCAGAAACCCAAAATAGATAAAATTAGTGAGCTCACTGATATCACCTAATCCATCATAAGCAGAAAAACTAATAAACTATGGAAAAGATAATTTAAATGAAGTCAGATAAACATCCAGATGAAACTTAGTTAGCTAGTGGTTAAAATATGAGAGACTGATATTTATTTAAGGTGCGTTGTTTGGCATGACGGAAAAAATTCTTATTTTCTGGTGTTTGGTTGTGAAAAATATTTTTCAGAGAAAACATTTTCCACCAAAAGGGAAAAAATGACTTCCTACACCTTTGGGCGGAAGTCATTCTCCTTCATAACTATCTAAACTCCTAACTTAATATTACTGCCTTTAACCAACATTTAGACATTATTATGTCTACAATCTTTTAATACTCAAAAGTTTCATCAAAACAGTATTCAATTTGCTAATACTTTTATCAATCTTTAGTAAATGTTTTTTTCTCAAAAAAATATTTTCTATTCTCCAACCAACAAAACACCAAAAATCTTTTTCCAAAAATAAGTCATTTGCCAAAAAATATTTTCCAAATATGACTTCCATCATACCAAACACAACCTTAGAGAGCACTGGATTTCATACGTGAGATATCTGCTTCTATGTCAGCACCAAAGTCCCTGGTATTCTTTTCAATGCTGGAAGACCTGTCCTTAACAGATGCTGTTGTATAGTGGTTTAGGCCTATGAAATCAACTGAGCCCTTAACTAGCTTAGCCTCATATTTGCTGAAGGTTGGAATTCTTGTCCCAGCAGCCTTCTTCATTACAGATGGATAGTCTCCAAATATTAAAGGATTCATTATCCTGCAGCCAAAGTCGGAAAAGGAAAATATGGTAAACAAACATATTGCTTGATAATGGCTTGCAAATATAAAATCGTTGAGTTGTATGTCCATCTTCTCATCAAAAAGCTTAAGTTGTTAGAGAAAGCACACTTTTATGATTATTCTTGATAATGGGAGACGACGAACTTGAAACCAGAACGTCTGTTTGCTTTGCCGAATTGCGTGACCACTCATTTAAAACTTGAAGCTTTTAAAGAGAGGACAGGTTTATATACTTAATTATGTCTTTTAAAACAGAACCTGTAATATTGATATGGCTGCTAGGCAAGATTTTACATGTCAGAAATATACTTTTAATCAGCCAATGAAATTCTAAAACTCACCAACCAGTATAAAATTCATTAGCTCTTTCTGCTGCATTTACATCATCCCCTGAATTTGTGTAAGGAACACACCAAAAACCATATATATTAAATCCCACAAAACCATGTTGGGTGGACTGCATTGCAAAAATTTTGCTGTCATTAGTAAGCACATGTCTTAAAGTAAAGTTGTTCACTCACAAGTAATAGAAGGAGCTGGAAATGAGAAAGGATATGCTTACATGACCCCACAAAGACCAGTACTTTCATCAAAGAAACAAGAGTAGAGAAGAAGGAAAAAGGTTTTCCTCAAAGCAAGGACTTAAGCCATATAATGCCATACATCTAAATTAGTTTGCACAAATGTGCCGCACATAGTACTAACTGCGAATGAAATGAATATTTTAATATTTTTACTAAATTTAAATAAATAAATACAAATATTAGATAAATTATTATTGAGCAAACTTATTACGCAATCAACCTTTATAGCATAACCAAAGAAGGAAAATGAGGTAATAAAGTTGCCCTCCCTATATTGGTAACTAATCAAACTATAAGAACAGAAATGCTCAAACTAACCTCAGAACGAGCACTAAAACACTAAATCATTGAGACTTCAATAACAATACAGATGAAAGTTATTTTACTGACCAGTTTGCTTCTAGATTGAAATCTTTGAATCATACCTTGTAATTTCTCCTGTACAATTTCATTGCAGATGAATGTGCAAGCAACATGTTATGAACAACAATATAAGGCTCAGTAGATGAATTGCCTCTAGAACAATAAACCCCAAAAGGTGGGGAACAACGTCCTGGTGGGGTGATGCCATTATCATAACCTCCAATCGCAAATATATTGGCCTCATTAATGGTGGTCCAATACATCACCCTGTCACCAAACTCCTTGAAGCATACCTCTGCATATGCAGTGAAGTCCTTCCTAAAGTCGATAGCAAATTCTACTACTGAAGTTAATCGTATCTGATGGCCTGATACTAAAACTGATATATGAGTAAACAGGTTAAAATATGCTATAGACATACACAATCTTTCGGCTTAACCATCCCCCGTGTTTATCTTCAAGTACCTATGGTAGATCACTGTGAAATAGTGTAACATGTGGTTGAATACCTGCAATATTAACAGATACGAAAGACTTTTAATGCACTCTTCAGAGGAATCTCGAAGTGCAGTTTTTTGCTTTTCTTTTTTCTCTAATATGTGTAATTGACAAAATGTACTGAAATTGCCAAGAAATTTGGTATGACCGTGGCTGATAAGTTCATCAATGTAATTGTTGTAAAACTGTAAACCCTTTGGATTTACAGGTCCTCTTCCACCTGGAAAGAGAACAAACGCGGCATCAAAGAGGGTGGAAATAAAAGGAAATAATATGAGGTGTTTTCATGTAGTATCAAGGGGCTAAACCTACCAGGTATAAGTCTAGACCATGAAATAGAGAACCTGTAGGCTTCTAAGCCTGTGTCAACCATGAGTTGGACATCTTCCTGCAACGGAAATTTGATGAACTCAAACTGCCTTTCTTTAGGACAAACCTAATTGAATTTAAGTGCCACCAACTTTTTACAAGACGTAGAAAAGAATGAACCATTTCTTGAAGACCATAAACTAAATATAGCAGACACTTAGTGGTACGCCAAACCTAAGATTATGCTATTTCTTTAGGAGAAACCTGATTGAATTTAACTGCTACCAACTTTTTACAAGACATAGAAAAGAATGAACCATTTCTTGAAGACCATAAACTAAAATAACAGACACTTAGCGGTACGCCAAACCTAAGATTATGCTATCGTGTGAAGGACCTTAACTATGTAAGATCAATTTTAAGAAGCTTAAACAAATACTTCAAGAGTAAGGCTCAAAGAACTAGAGACTTAGTTAAATCTTTCTCTGTCATGTTGTTAAGAGAATTGGAAGATAGGAACTTGTACTCATTCTACATACGTTGCAGTTGTAAAATACAATAACCAAGAAGTTCAATTGAATCTGAATCCTAAGCATGGAACTGAATAGTCCTTTCAGTTGCTTTTCAAGGTAATAACGTTCCATATTCTACATCTATAATTGCTTGTTATACTTGTCTGTTTTCTGTCGGATATCAATCAAACTTCTATGCCAACCATCTTCTCTTGTATGCAGTGATAGTACCAAACCATTTGTTGTATATGTTACTTTGTAACAGTCGGTGGGAGGTAAAAGAATCAGATTGAAACAGAGTCATTGTATCCACCTTGTATTTGTGGTACAGATCACATGCTATGTCTCCATTGGCTCCACCGGAAAAACCTGGAAGCAAAAACTTGAAATATCATCAACCAATCTGCATTAATGTAACTCATAGCATGTATTTCCTAATAAAAAGATTTTAAATTTCTAAAAGAAAGAAATGTTCTACTTATAAATGATAGCCCAAATTGTATATCCACCTGTTCAAATGTACAACATTCAGTAGTAGTATACCAATTTTCTGCATCATTTGTGCGTCACCGAACAACTTCAGTTTAGCGAGAAGCAAGTGATTTATAACAAATGAGCGAATTTCTAAAATTAGGTAAGAAAATAAAAAGAGGATGTGTTGGCTTTGTCACACATTCAACTTCTCATACATGGAATAGACAAGACTTATTGAGGTTAAGAGATGAAATTGCTCACAAGGCCATTTATTATGATTATACTTTTATTATTGAAGAGTAAAATGGGCTTAAAATCTCAATTTTCTTTAACTTGTTCTCTGGTTACTGCACTACCATAGATGGAAAAAAAAAAAAAAATTTAAATCAGGCAATTGTAAAAGAATGTAACAAAGTCTCCGGCATAGCGTGGTAAAGTATCAACTATGTAACACTCACGAGTCACGATGGAAGGGGCTGATGAGTGCGGATTTAGGAGAATGACTAACAGGCTTCTAGGTGGCAAGCTTCAGAAGAAAGGGTTCATATGACACTTAAGGCAAATACCACATTGGAAATGAAGAAGAAAATGAAGTGCTATATAAGACAGTACAAGTTCACATAGTATCTTATGCTTTTGGGCTCCATATGACATAGCTCAGGTGACAAATCCAAAGAGGTCAGTCGCACCAAAACGGACAATACATACCATGATTTGGGCTATAAGACAAACTATCACTCAATTTCACGATTAATGGGACTATAAAGAGGTCAAGGATGCAAAGCGAATAAAGAAACAGAACTGGATTGATTTTAAGAATACAGACCAGCATGAGCAAAAGTATCCCAAATGCTAGGTGTCCTTCCATCTTCAGATGCTGCCCCTTCTACCTTTTTTCATATACAACCAATCAAAGAGTAAACAATTACTATTCATCAATTACAAACTCATTATTGAAAAAAAAAAAAAAAAAAACTTTTAACTGACTTGATAGGCAGAAGTTCCAGCACCAAAAACAAAGCCAGGAGGGAAGTCAGCTCTTCTATAATGGTCTGTACCAAAGACTATCACCAATAAACATTGGATTGAAACAAGCAGCAGTAGAAAACAGAAGTTGGATTGCAGATTTCGGAGCATCATTCTTAATGGGTGGCTATTATTAACTACTCTTACCCACATATACCCTCAAGACTTATTGTATTTCTTGACCCATATATTTTTGTAAGTTCCAGTAAACTCTGAAGACAACAATGGAAAGAATCTTTATCACTTTTCTGGTATAGGCCATAGTTACAAAGAGAGGGACATTCTCCAGCAAGAGAGAGTTGAAAAAACGAATTTGAAGTGCTAGGCATCGCAAATTTTGAGAAAACTTTTCTGAGGAAATTATCAAAATGGTCCTTAATGTATAGGGGTTGGACTATTTTGGTCCTTACTGTATACCCCTTAACTGATATGATCCTTCATATATGTAAAATGTGATCAATTTAGTCATAAACCCTAAAAACTAACAGTTTTCACTCAAAAAATCTTTAAAATTAACAGAAAATATGAGGTGCATAACTGCCACCTTGTATACGCTAAAAATCGGGCATGTCCCGGAGCGAGCCAGGCCACGGTTCGACCCTATGTTATATCGGACCACTGTGTAAAGTTAAATTGCCGAGCTCGAGACCCAGAGACCGATCGAGATCGAGGTCGGCCAAGATTAAAGCCAGGCAGGATAGAGATCGAGCAAGATCGAGGGAAGCTTACCAAGCCAAATAACGAAAAACCAAAATATTCTTAATCGGGCGAGGATTACAGCAGAAATCTCGGCACGTATCAAGAAGAGGCCGATTAATTAGCTAATCATGGGATTTCTTACTGTATTAAGAATTGTATCAGAGGTATGACTCCCCTACTATATAAAGAGGGTCTGATCATTTGTAAAAGACATCATATTCACGCTATACAAAGCAATATACTACCTTTCTCTTAAGCTTTCAATACTCTGTTGCTCTTTTCATATTTTCCAGTAGAATACTCGTTTGGTTCGAGGCTGATCTAGCTCGAGGGCAAAGCTACACGTTTATTTTGGTTTGCTTTATTCCTTTTTGCAGTCAATTTCAATATCAATTTACATATTTTCTCATTTTGTGTCATGTCAAATCACGTGTCCTTAAAACCACGTATAAATTCAATTGTTATCCAATTTTAGGGTAAATAGTTTGGCGCACACTGTGGGGCTAAGAATAATAGTGATTGCATGGTACTACCTTTTGTAACACAGAGTATTTAATTCTTGTTCTTGTGAGTATCTTTGATTCCAAGATCAGCATGTCAAACTCTCAAGCAGTACCCACACACACACACACACAGACAATGGCCTTGGTCTCCATGGCGAGAACGACAACATAGCCTCCCCAGGAAATGGAGTACCTCCAGTTGACCTCGATGAAACCCTGGCCGTAGAACCAATCCTTGTCAGTTCCCATGTTGTCATTAATAGGATTTGGCTGTTGATCCTGAAAGTAGCATCCGCAGAGACGTTCGACCAGCCGATCAGAACGCACAGGGCGGTGAAGAAGGCAGGATCAGCCTTCGAGTGATATTCGAAATGTTGCAGACTCAACAAGCTGCAATAGCACAACTCCAAAACCAGAACCATGCACCAAGCAGGATCGAACCCGAGCCATCACATGAGGTTGTTCGTAGGGCCAAATCGGTGCCAAAGAGATCGAATGGAGGTGAATCAGGGACCGATCCCACAATCATGAAGATGCTCGAGGAAGGGTTTTGAAGGGTTTGGATTCGAAGAAGTATCAAGGGTTTGAAGGGTTTGGATTCGAAGAAGTTCGTGCAAAAACCTTCCCCTCCCCCTACCCCCCCCCCCCCGAGCGCGGCCCCTAAACCATTTCCCAAGAAGTTCCGCATGCTAGAAATTCCCAAGTATAATGGAACAACAGACCCCAACGAGCATGTCACTTCTTACATATGCGCGATTAAAGGGAACAACTTGGAGGACAACGAGATCGAGTCTATATTATTGAAGAAGTTCGGGGAAACTCTGTCGAAGGGAGCGATGATATGGTACCATAACTTGTCACCCAACTCCATTGACTTGCAGACTCCTTTATTAAAGCACACCCCGGGACTATAAAGGTCGAGACTAGGAAATCGGACCTCTTCAAGGTAAGGCAGAAAGATAACGAGATGCTCAGAGAGTTCGTGTCTCGGTTCCAAACAGAACATATGGATCTACCACCGGTCGTCGATGATTGGGCCGTCCAGGCCTTCACCCAAGGACTAAACGTACGAAGCTCGGTGGCTTCACAGCATCTAAAACAGAACTTGATCGAATACCCAACTGTTACCTAGGCCGATGTTCATAATCAATACCAATCAAAAATTAGGGTTGAAGACGATCAGCTGAGGTCCCCTTTCGGGTCCGTTTATCCTATCAGGTCCGTCGATAGAATCAAAAGGGACATCGATCGAGAATCACGCTCGATTAGGGATCGCTACCGGATATGCAATGGAGTTCGGAGAAGCAACGAGTCTGGGCGCAACCCTATTCGAGGTGAAAGAAGAAATGATCGAGGTCAGAGCTCTAAGGGGCTAATGAGCAAGAATGGTTTCGATAGGGACGCCAGGCCCAAAGAAGCACCGCGACTATCAGAATATAACTTCAACATTGATGCATCCGCCATTGTATCAGCCATCGGACATATCAAAGATACTAGATTGCCTCGACCTCTGCGAACTGATCCAGCCTAGAGAAATCCCAATCAGATGTGCAAGTATCATAGCACCATGACCATAGAACAGAAGATTGCAGGCAGCTAAGGGAGGAAGTAGCCCGGTTGTTCAACGAGGGGCACCTTCGGGAGTTCTTAAGCGATCGGGCCAAGAATCACTTCAAAAAAAGGGATTCAAACAGACAAAACGAGCAAGAAGAGCCACTACATGTGATTCACATGATTGTTGGAGGGGTCGATATTCCTTAAGGACCAGTATTAAAGCACACCAAGGTGTCGATCACAAGGGAGAAGTGAACTCGAGATTACGTACCGGAAGGAACCTTGTCTTTCAATGACGAGGATGCATAATGGATCGTACAACCCCATAACGACGCACTGGTAATATTTGTACTTATGAATAAGACTCAAGTTAAACGTGTTTTAATTGATCCAGGTAGCTCGGCCAACATTATTCGATCAAGGGTCGTAGAACAGCCCGGCCTGCGGATCAGGTTGTGCCCGCAGCCCGAGTGCTAAACGGCTTCAACATGGCGTGCGAAACCACCAAAGGTGACATAACTTTGCCAGTGAACGTGGCTGGGACCATCCAAGAGATAAAGTTCCATGTGAACGAGGGCGATATGAGGTATAATGCCCTATTCGGGAGGTCATGGATCCACAACATGAGAGCGATGCCCTCGACCCTTCACCAGGTTCTAAAATTCCCGACGGCATAAGGAGTCAAAATAGTCTACGGAGAGCAACCCGCCACCAAGGAAATGTTTGTCGTCGACGAAGTAATACCGATATCGGCACTCTCGTCGACGAAGGGGTCAAATTCGAAGGGAAAATAGGAAGGCAAATAGCAACCACAGACACCGACCTCGACCCAATCAGGGATGTAGGGGACTGACGAGGATGATGACTATGGGATTCCTCAATCTGTCATAGTCCCTGATGATTTCGATGCCACCAAGTTAACGGTCAAAGAGCTGGAACAAATCATACTGGTCGAACACCAGCCCGAACAAAAGGTATACCTGAGCACGAGGCTAGCCCCCAAGCTTGGGGGAAAACTTATTCAATTCCTTAAAACTAACATGGATTGTTTGCTTGGTCCCATCTCGATATGACAGGGATCCCACCGGAAATCAACACCCATAACTAAGCCTGGGCCCGAAGTTCCACCTAGTGAAGCAAAAACGAAGACCCCAATCCGAGGTTAAAACGCCTTCATCAAATATGAGGTAACCAAACTTCTCAAAATAGGGTCCATCCAAAAAGAAAAATATCCCGAACGGTTAGCAAACGTAGTAGCAGTCCCTAAGAAGAGGAACAAACTTAGAATGTGTGTAGATTACAAAGACCTAAATAAAGCGTGCCCCAAGGATTCTTTTTCTTTGCATAATATCGATCGCATGATCGATGCCAAGGCCGGCCACGAGATCCTTCGTTTTCTCGATGCCTATTCCGGGTACAACCAAATACATGAACCCAGAAGACCAGGAAAAGACCTCGTTCATCACTAAGTATAGGACTTACTGTTATAATGCAACGCCATTCGGATTAAAAAATGATGGTGGAACTTATCAACGCCTTGTAAATCGAGTGTTCGAAGAACAAATAGTGAAATATATGGAAGTTTATATTGATGACATGCTAGTTAAGTCCCTGCGAGCAGGACCATTTGAAGCATTTGCAGGAACCTTTCGGTATACTGAAGAAATACAACATGAAGCTCAACCTAGAAAAATGCACATTTGAGGTCGGCTCTAGCAAATTTCTCGGCTTCATGGTATCCAATCGAGGAGTCGAGATCAACCCCGACAAAATCAAAGCTATCGAGGACATCACGGTAGTAGACAACATAAAGGCAGTGCAGAGGCTAACGGGGCGCATAGCCGCTCTGGGGCGATTCATCTCGAGGTCCTCCGGTAAGAGCCATCGATTCTTTTCGTTGCTGAAGAAACGGAATAACTTCATATGGACCCCAAAATGCCAACATGCCTTGGAAGAGCTTAAACGGTACTTATCGAGCCCGCCGCTGCTTCACACGCCGAGGGCAGATGAACAACTTTACTTATATTTCGCAGTATCGGAGATAGCGGTAAGTGGAGTCCTGGTCCAAGAAGAACAAGGTACGCAATTCTCTATCTATTATGTTAGTCGGACCTTAGGTGAGGCCGAAACCAGATATCCCCATCTAAAAATTAGGGCTCGCTTTGATAAGCGCCTCTAGGAAGCTAAAACCATACTTTCAATGTCATCACATATGTGTTGTAACGATTTATCCTCTTCAAAATATTTTGCATAAGCCCAAACTTTCGGGACGATTGGCCAAATGGGCCGTAGAAATCAACGGGTACGATATTGAGTATCAATCCCGAACAACTATCAAGTCTCCGATCTTGGCAGACTTCGTGGCTGACTTCACACCTACCCTAGTACCCGAGGTCGAAAGAGAACTATTAGTCAACTCGGGTACATCCTCAGGAATCTGGACCCTCTTTACGGATAGTGCTTCGAACGTAAAAGGGTCCGGACTCAGCATCGTGTTAAAACCACCCACAGGTAACGTGGTTAGACAATCTATTAGAACTGTAAAATTAACTAACAACGAGGC